GGTAAGGTAAAATCGAAATTGATGCACGAAAGGAAATGGGTTATCCGCAGCCAAGCACCAGATTAGTTTTGGTGTGCAGTTCATAGACTAAATGTTGATTGGCGCAAGCTTAAGATATAGTCAGACCCCACCTGAAAAGGTGCAGGAGAATAAAAGTGGTTGCTAGCGACCGGGTCGCGAAATTTTTTATTCTCCGTTAAATTAATAGAAAATTCTATTTAGGGAGAAGTACCCAACTCGACCAAGGACGCTGTTATATGGGACCCCCCGACCGACCAAGGTGGGTGGGCCGCTTGCATGGCTCCGCCAACGAGTGGGCGGAGCCGGCCCCAACATATATTTTTTTTATTATTAAAAAAATATAAGAGAGGGGGGGCTTTAAAGGGGAGATTTGGAACTTGCACGGGAATGATTAATTAATAACAATACCCCACTAAACAAACAAATATATTACTTTAAATTTAAATGCAGCCCAAGGCCCTCCGGCCCCTCAAACCCCCCCTCCGGCCCCAGAGCCACAATTTAGGCTAGGGTAGTGAAAAAAATATTTATTTTTTTTAACCAGCCCCTCCGGCCCCGACCAAGGTGGGGTATGGTTTATTCTCCAGCAAAGCAGGGACTTTCTCCTTTTTACTATTCCTCCCTCCTAGACAAGGCAGTCGGTCCATAGGGAGTAGCTTTGACGGGTGTGGTTTAATTAACACAATACCAAAAAATGCCCCCTGCCTTGACCCCCCCCCCAAAGCTGCGGATACGGGGCTTGTTTAACCTTCTAGACTGCAGCCATGTGGCTGCATGGCTGCATGCAGCCAGCATCGGAAAGCTTTCCGATGTTTTCCTACGAAGCGCCCTCCTTTACGACCAAGGTGCCTTCTTTGCCTTTACGTCACGAGGGTTTATTTATATGAAAACCTAAACCTGTGATTCAAGACTGATGTCTCTGATTAGCCCCCCCTCCTCTTATTTATTAGGCCGGCTCCATTTTTTGCTTTCCCCCCCCCCACACACGTGGTGTGCCGCTTCGCCCCTCCCCTCTCACCAGGCGAAGGCCATCCACTTACTACGTAAGTGGACGGAGCCGGGGAGGGACATATTAGGGGGGGGGGGGTACTAAATGGACGGAGCCGGCCTAATAAATCAGAGGAGCCGGGCTATAAAATAGGGGGAGGAGCCGGGGGAGGTGTAAAGCTAGCCCCTGTGGGGCAGGGTGGCCAATTAATTGATCAAAGGTATATCTTTCATCCAGCCTAGGTCGGAATTTATAAACAACTGTCCGGTCGTGTTATACTGGAATCAAAGAAAGTTTTAATAAGTCTCTCGCAAAACATGAAGAAACCATTTTTAAACGGCCCCCCCTCTCCTCGAACTACCCTCTCTCAATTTTATTGAGAGAGGTCTTTTTTTTTCTGTAAAGCCCCCCCCTAACGGGGGGCGCTAGCCCGATAGGGCAAAAAAAGCGTCCCCTCTCTCGAAGAGAGAGGGGATGCAGCCCCCTCTCTCTCTCTGAAAGAGAGAGAGAGGGGGCCGCTAGGAGAGGGGGGTTATATAGAATATCAACATTATCTCCCTTTATCTGGAGCCCTAAGTACAGAACAAATAAAATTACATCAACTCCACCGAGCAACATAATTAGGTTACACTATATATAGACATATATATAGTTGTAACCCTGCTGGGCTGGCCATGGGGTCGAGAAATGGCCTGCTTATGCTTGAACAGTGGAATAAAGGATTCTTGGCCTGCGGAGCCGGCCATGGAGGAACTTAGGCTAATAGATGCAGAGAGGTCTAGTTATGATAAATTGTTTAAAGCGGCCCCCCCTCTCTCTCCGAGAGAGGGGGGGGCTGCATCCCTCTCCCTCTTTACCCCCCGGCTCCCCATCCGTACTACGTGAGTAGTAGGAGGGGGGGGAGCCGGGGGGGCGGGAGAGGGGACGCTCTCAAGGATTGTGCAGATCTAAGACATCGTACCGAAAGTCGTATTAAAGAAATAAAAAAGTTTAAACTGTGGTATTTTATAACCGTAAAAGGTTATGACATATTCACAAACTTTATTACTTAATTACCAGCGTCCGCCTCACCCCCGACCTTTTAGCGGGGAACAAGCCAAACTAAAAAAAAATAAATTTTGCCTAGCTCCGCTGTCCCGGCTCCCAGCATACTTCGTAAGCAGGGGTGGTATATATTTTTTTAATCTAAATATTGGTCAGCATGCCCTAACGAAGTTGTGCATGCAGACCAAGGCTGGAAGGGGGCGCTTTGCAGGCTCGGGTTTGCCACCTAACGAAGGCCCCCCTTTTCGGACTACCCTTGGGGAGCCGCCCCCCCCTCAAAAATCACCCCTCTCATTGAAGATGAGAGGGGGTAGTCCGGGGGGGGGGGTCCCCATGGGCCGCTTTTTTGATTTTTTTAAAAAAAAAATCAAAAAGAAAAGTTGTGTAACCATAGAAATGTAGACATAGATATGTAGTTGTAACTTACTACGCGAGCAGGGAGGCTAGGGGTGTTCCTCCGGACCTCCCGGGAAACGAACGGTAAATATTAAGGGTGCAGCATTTATATTCAGACCTGGTCTGAATATAAATGCAGAAAAAATAAAAAAAGGGGTGGAGTGATTTAAGGAAGGTTCCGTTATAGGTAAGGTGGGTTGAGCTGTAAACTCAATAGCGATAAGCTTTTAAAGGTTCGAGTCCTTTTCTTCCTATTATACCCAGATTACTTTTTTTATAATCGGCCCTTCGCTTGCAAAGCGACCAGAATACTACTAAAGGGCTGCTCCTCACCCACACCCCTTCACCCCCGATCCAAGTGAGCGAGGCTAGGGGGGGGTAGGCTACAAGGTATATATAGATACAACTTGCTACGCTGGCTAGCCTGCGAGGGGGGGGGTGGTAAGGTAATAAAATAGTTTAAAGATTTATTCCTTGTCTCTCCAGTGGCCACCCCCAATACCGCAGCAGTCCTGCGGGCTTCAAGGAAGCTGCGCCCCTTCGGGGTGCACAACCTCCGGAGGTTGATGCGACCAGGTCGCATCATCCCCACCCCCTGCTCCAGCCTCATCTTCCCGGGATGCAGTCAATAAACTTCTTCCCTCTCCCTCTCTCCAGAGGGGCCAGTTACAGTGGAAAAAGGGAGGCTACAGGGGCCTGAAAATGGACCAGGAAAGCAGGGGGGGGGGAGGCTCCCTACCTGCTCGCCCCTCCCCTCTCTCTCTTTTTTTACCCTCTCGGGCTAGCGCCCCCGTTAGGGGGGGCTTTACCAAAAAAAACTTCTCTCCACGCGGGGCTTTCAGCCCCGCGTTGAGAGAGAGAAGGCTGTTCGAGAGAGGGGAGGCTTTAAAATAGAAAAGGTGGTAGGTGCAGGGAGGCTAGGGAGGCTAGGGGGGTAGGGCTTTGCTGCGCTGTGTCCAGCATGCAGTCCTTTTCCTATTCACAACTTCGTTAAGCAGCAGGGAGACCCTACAGGGACAGGAACAGTAAAGGGGGGGGGGTAAGGTGGGGGGGTGAAGGATTATTTAATTGGCGCTTCGCTGCTTATCCGAAGGATGTGCTGCATGCAGCCCTGTGACTGAAAAATAAAGGGGGGGTTTATAATGACCCTATCACCTCCGCCCTGTCTATGCCCACCTTACGGTGCCTCCACCTTCTCCCGAGGGTGGAGAGGAAGGGAGGGTTAGGAAGGGCGCTTCGCAGGCTCGGTTTTGGGACCTAACGAAGGCCCCCTTTTCTTCGGGGGGGGGCGCTCCCTTTTCGGACTACCCTTGGGGACCCCCCCATGCATGCAGGGGGGGGGGGGTCCCCATGGGCCGCTTTTTTGATTTTTTTTTTAAAAAAATTAAAAAAGAAAAGGTTTTAAAACCGATGAAAAGGCCCGACCAAGGACTCTTTTTTATTTTTTTTTTTTAAAAATTAAAAAAGAAAAGTTGTGTAACCATAGAAATGTAGACATAGATATGTAGTTGTAACTTACTACGCGAGCAGGGAGGCTAGGGGGGAAATAGAAGACAAGGGGGGGGGTGGCTGCTTAGCCTCCGGGAGCCGGGCATACGTCCACCTTCGGAGAAGAGGGTGTATAGCGCAAGCATGCAGTACTATTCGGGAGCTATGGGTCGGCTTGTTTCACTATTAAGTTAGCGTCGCCCGGGGCGGAGCCGCGGAGCGATGCATCGCGCCGCAGGCGGCGCGACGCTAAAAAAGAATTCAACTTGCCTTGTCCCCCGCAGATCTGCGCAGTCCTTGAATGTCCATTGCCTCCACCTAGGACCAATTGGGCGCATGCATGCACAACTTCGTTAGCGGAGCCAAAACCGAGCCAGTACCTGTACCAGTTCCCTACCTACATTTTCCAACCCACCCATCCATCCATCCAACTACTACACGCAGCCTTGGTCGTAGTTGAAATGGATGGGTGGGGAAGTGTTGGGTCGCCCTTTGGGCGCAGGAAAAGGACTGCATGCTTGCGAGCGGTCGCATGCACGCGGAGCCAAGATCTGGGGGGGGGGGGCAGCCATGCAGGACTAATACCTAATACCCAATTGGCGCTTCGCATCCAAGTTCCCTCACCTTCATGCAAGACCAGTATTGGTCTTGCATGAAGGTGGGAGCCCTAGGGGAGGAGTCAGGGGGGGGGGGAGATATTCCGTCCTTGTATTCCGTGTATGCCCTGCATGCAGGTACAAGCCATGAACTAAGGTGAAAAGCTAACTAAATTAAAATAATTTCGCCACTCCGCGTATTCTTAAAGTCTTCATAGCTCAACGGTAGAGCGGAATACTGTTAATATTTTTATAGAGGTTCGATTCCTCTTGGAGACTCCACCCAAAAGGTATAAACATCGCCCTCCCGTGGATGGCTTCAGGTCTTGATATCACATACAGACATCTTTACAATGTACATAAGGTTATCTTTGTAGCGAATCACAAAGATCTTCCAGGGTCCGAAATTGCTCGGTGACGCCCGTCTTCCTTGCATCCTCCCCACCTATCCTCTATAGGTTATGTAGATGTGGAAGGGTAATAGACCCATCCGGGACAACCTCTTCAAATATAAGAGAACTCTGACGGGGGGCTTCTATGACGGCAGCGTCGAAAGTTAGGGGGGCCGTGCCTCTAGGCCGAAAGGAGCGAGATTCTATTGATTAAGCAAATAAACAACTAAACCGATGAAAAATTCTTAGACAAAGAATACTGAACAATCTTCATAAGCATATTACTGGTGATCGTAGCATCCGCGCGCGCGGAGCGCGCGCTAGGATGCGTCTCCCCTGCTCCGCAGGGGGACGCTGTTAAATATCTCTCTCATCACCTTGACGTTTTGGCTCAAGACTACACCGAAGAGGAGGTATGGGAAGCTGCTATTGTAAACGATAAAGAGGGTACAATGGAATTCAACAATATCAAAGTGACGGGGGGGGGTTAACGCCATAACAGATACCTTGGGACAAACCACAGCCTATGTGGCCGGGGTTGAAGGTATAGTGAAGTTCCAGAAGCATAGCAATTGGCTCATGGGATCTAAGATAGCAGTAAGCGCAATGGTAGGCGCAGGTTCAATGGCTACATTCTCATTACCCCCTAACAGGAATGGAGCTACTTCCACTCGGAATCCAATCCCGGGGGGGGGGGGTAACAGCAGAAGAAAAGTATGTGACAGTTAAGGTCACAAATAATGTAGGTCCCACCTTCGGAGTATTATCCGACAGGCAGTCCTGAGGAGTGCTTAGACTGCATGCAGTCTGCTAATGGAACATATCAACACTCTCCTCTTCCTACAGGCGTTAATTGTCGCATTGGCCATACAGCTGTTAATTATGCTCGCAGTACGACAGCTAGCGCAGAGAGAAGGACTACTAAAGTCGTTAAATAAATGACCCAGAATACAATACATAGCGAGGGAGGAGGAGTTGTATACAACTCCTCCTCCCTTGCGTCTCGCGCGCTACGCGCGCGGACGCTCCCCTCTCTTCAATTTTTTTACCCTCTCGGGCTAGCGCCCCCGTTAGGGGGGGCTTTACCAAAAAAAAAAGAAGAGAGGGGAGCCGGGGGACCTTTAAATGGGGGGGGCTCCAAGTTTTTTTCGAAGAAAAAAAGAAAAAGAGCGCAGCGCGCCCCCTTGCAGCCCCCGGGAGGGGCCGCTTCCAAACTATTAGCTGTATGGTCAACCACAAACACTTTCTGGATCTATCTAATCGTCATCTCCCTAATAATTTTCTCACTAGCAAGTCGCCCCCCCTTCTCTCTCTCTTCGAGAGAAGGGGGGGGGACTTGCATCTCTCTCTCTCTTCGAGAGAGAGGACGCAAGTCTTTTTGGGACATTTGTAGTACAACAGACTATTTTCCCCCTCTTTTTTTTTTATTTTAAAAAAAAGAGGGAGGACCGGATTAGCGATACCCTTATACTCTTCCCCACCTTCGGAGCCGGGTGGCAAAACATCTGAACCGAGAATTCTAACGATTAAGAGCTGCTCTGCTGGGAAAATAAAGATAAGACGTTATAGGGAACATGACTGTATACTACGAGGAATTAGACCAATCGGAACTTTTATACATGATGATGTAGGTGATTTGCACGCGACCGGTCGAATTGAGCATGATAGGAGATTCGGAAGGGACAAGCGGCTCGAGCGGAGGCCATGTTAGAGCTGCTCTTCACCACCCCTTCACCCCCCCCCGCTCCAAGTGAGCGAGCCTACGGGGGGGGTGAAGGGGTGTGGGAGAGGAGCTACTCCTATAATGTCAATATTTAGGCTTCCATATACAGGGCTATATAGCCTTCCAACACTGCAGTTCGGTGATGATGGACGACCAAGGCTGTATGGGGACTTACCCAGGAACCCCCCCCGGGGCACACGAGACCATTCCACAATTAAGGGCACATGGACTCCAATTTGCAGACAAAGACGGTGGCTCAAGATGGGTAAAGAAGGAAGGAGTCTGGCTTCTTTCTACACGACCAAGGCTGCTTCATCGCTTCAACCTAGGACCCCCCCCCCCCTCTCATCCAACTACTACACGCAGCCTTGGTCGTAGTTGGACTGCATGCAGAGCGGGGGGGGGGGGGGTCCGAGAGGAATTTAATGGTATACCCCTTCACACTATTACTGAGAACAACATCGACGCTATAGTAGGAAAACGTATAACGAGGAAGCAGTCAGAGCACCATGAACATTAAACGTGAAAAGGGCCGACTTCGTCGACTGCTGGCCAGACAGAATGTATATTGAAGGAAACATAAGTAGGACGAATCAAAGGTAATAAGTTTCCCTACCAGCCTTGGTCTGCATGCAGTGTGGCTAGTAAGAAGTTCAACAATGAGGAATACGTATCTATACCGCAAACTGACAGCACCATCATGTGTCAGTACTTAGGAACCATGTGAAGAGTGGAAGACAAGAAGGTAAAGACCTATCCAAAGGACTTAATCCGCAACCCAGGAGGTCTCCATTGGGAATCGGTTCTGTTACTTGTGGGCTTGAACACGGGATGTTACAATCCTCCGGTAGGACGTCGCGCGCGCGTAGCGCGCGCGATGCACGGAATAAGCGGAGAGAGGTAACTGGGAGCCGTGGGGGGGAGAGAGTGTAGCTGAATACTCACACCCGGCTCCGGTGAGAGGGGAGCCGGGGCCTTCGTTAAGCAGCAGGGGACCCTACTGGGACAGGTACAGCCTCGGTTTTGGCTCCGCTAACGAAGGCCCCCCTTTTCGGACTACCCTTGGGGACCCCCCCCCTGCATGCCTGCATGCAGGGGGGGGTCCCCATGGGCCGCTTTTTTGATTTTTTTTTTTTAAAAATTAAAAAAGAAAAGGTTTTAAAACCGATGAAAAGGCCCCCGACCAAGGACTCTTTTTTATTTTTTTTTATTTAAATTAAAAAAGAAAAGTTGTGTAACAACATACATATGTAGTTGAAACTTGCTACGCGAGCAGGGAGGCTAGGGAGGGAGCCGGGGGGGTAGGCTTTCCACCTAAATCATATTCAATTAAAACCAGGCCCCCCCCCCCCTCCTCTCTCATTTATTTTCAATGAAAATAAACGGAGAGGAGGGTTACATTAAAGATAAGTATTATCCCTTGTATTTTCCCAGTATAGCTGGGGCCATGCAATGCACCCGGCCCCCTCTCGAACAGCCCTCTCTCTCTCTTTCAGATAGAGAGGTCATATTTTTTATTTATTATTTTTATTATTTGCTTGCGTAGCTACCCCCGAGGGGGGTGCTTGGCCTTTGGCCATGCACCCCCCCTGGGTAGGCAGCCTACCCACAGCCCTTACCCTGGCAGGGTAAGGGTCTGTGCGGAGGCTGCCGGCGATTCTCTCATTTATTTCCACCCCCCAGCCCGGCCCCCTCCCCTCTCTCGAACAGCCTTATCTCAACGCGGGGCTGAAAGCCCCGCGTGGAGAGAAGTTTTTTTTTAAGAGAGAGGGGAGCCGGGGCTTTTAAGTGCAGGCACCCCCCCGGCTCCCCCTTCTCTCATATTTTTTTGAATCTATTATTTTTATTTTATTCGCTTGCGTAGCTACCCCTCCTTTCTCATTTATTTCCCTGCTTTGCTGGGAAATAAACGGAAAGGAGGGTTATTAAAAAAATATTAAGAGAGGGGGAGCCGGGGCTTTTAAGTGGGGGGGGGGGGGGTTGAGGGTCGGAAATAAACGGAAAAGAGGGTATTATTAAACAAAGATAAGAGAGGCCCCCTAATATTAGCTGGCCCTGTCGATAAATATTCTATACCCCACCGACCTGGTCGCAAATAAAACTCTCTTTTGGGTTCCCACAGATGGCAGCGCCAGGGACCCGTTAGGCTGTACATCCTTCGGATAAGCATGGCCTTTTCCCGGAGCCAGCCGGGGGTCATGCTGCATGCAGTGTTTTTTTTTGTCTGCCCCAGAGGCAAAGGCCGCCTGCATGCAGGGGTATTTTTTACCAGAGGGCAAGGAATTTTGTGTTTTGTCCAGTTCTGGGGGGGGGGGGTGAGGGTTACCCTCTTGCCTCCACCCCACCGCCTTGGGTGGTGGTGGTGGTGGTGGGAGGGGGGGTAATGCGCCCTGGCTTGACCCAAAGGTGCGGGAGCCGGCCCTGCATGCGACCCCGTTATTATCGTGCAGCCATTGGAAGGCCATATTTACTTTAATTTCAGCCACCCAGGCTAAGGGGAGCGGGGGGGTGGCTACGCAGACCTGGTCGTTATCCTCCTCCCTGGCCTAGCATGCAGACCGGTCGATCTGCGACCTGGTTACTTCAGCCTTGGTCGCAAAATCAAAAAAAATAAAAATATATTTTATTTTTTTTTTATTGGTCGGCTACTCTGCTCAGGGCCGGCACCGCAGCCCAGAGGGGCTGCTTTGGTGGGGAATTTCCCTCACCGGAGCCGGGTGTGTGTAATACCGACCAGGATTATTCTTACGCCCCCCCCCCCCTCTTCTCTCATTCATTTCCTAGCGTCCCCCCCCCGGCTCCCGGCTCCTAATAAATAAGAGGAGGGGGGGGGGATGCATCGCGCGCGCTACGCGCGCGCGACGCTTTGCTGGGAAATGAACGGAGAATAGGGCTTCAAAAGAGTTTTATAATTCTTTAAAAAAGTAAAATTTATTTATAAATGCGCTATAATAATTTAAATTATGTATTGTTATAAATTATTATTATAGCCGATAAATAGTTATCATCCTAAAAAAAATAATAAGTCAATAAAGGGCAATTTATTAAAAACAAATATGAAAAACAACAATAACAATTTTTCTCCAGTGGCGGTTTATGAAAATGCTAAGCTTTGTAAGGAACTGATTTGGCAGGAAAACCAAGGCAAATCAGGAATTTACAAGTGGATTAATATAATTAATGGGAAAACATACATTGGTTCTGCGGTAGATTTAGGAGTTAGATTAAGAAGCTATTCTTATGAAAGTTATCTTAATAGACATACTGATATGGCTATTTGCCGGGCTTTGCTTAAATATGGTTATGAAAATTTCAGGGTTGAAATTTTAAAGTATTGTTCTTCAGAAAAACTCATGGAATGGGAGCAATTCTTTTTTGATTTATATAAACCTGAATATAATATCTTAAAAACAGCGGGATCCTCTTTGGGATATAAACATTCCGAAGAATCCCGGGTTAAAATCTCAGCTGCTATGACTGGGGCGCCGCTCCTCCTTTTTTTCATTTACATAGTAAATGAAATAAGAGGAGGACTTATTAAGGGAACTCCAAAATCGGAGCAACATAAGGCTGCAATCTCGGCCGCTCTGACGGGTAATAATAATGGAAACAATCAACCTAACGCTCAAGAAATTATAGTTACTGATTTAGAATTAGGTACTAAGAATACTTATCCTACAATTAGAGCAGCAGCTAGAGCCCTAAATC